AAAGCAAATGAAACAACATAGATAAATACTTAGTTTATAATTTCTCATGGAGACATCTGCAGGCAAAGAGATTTATTTGCCCCTTGGCTGATAAGCACATACTTCAATCGGAGAATAACAAGCAACCAAATAGAAAGTTGTAATAAAGCATTGAAGCATATTATTATTATTTTCCTCCTCTTCTCATTTGGATGAAATGTTCTCTTTCAAAGAGGGCTGGATCTTTCAGAGGGACTTTGATTACTTAAGAAGCTTTTCTCGAACATTCTGGGCATCTTCCACCGCATTGTGGAGAAATTTGTTCTGAAAATAATACATGACCGCAAATGAACTCATTCCACCAAACACAGACCTGATAACAGGTATAAAAGAAAGAGGCAATTCCACAACCGACACAGTTACACGAAGACATGTCCCCAGATATTTCACAAACGATGGCATTACCCAGAGAGCAGACTTCATCAGGAGAAAAAATACTAGCTGTGCATTGACTCTTTTGACTAATGGCCTTTTCTTGATCCCTGATCTCAGCTGTTCAAACCCTTTTCCCGTCTGTAGTGCCAGAAAATGGAGGGACCCCTGGTCTAAGGCAAACACCCACCTGAAACATATCAGTGCATCTATCAGAATTCCAATATCACAAATTATAGAGAGACCCACAACAGGCACTGCTCCACAAATGCAAGATACTATCGCTAACTTCTTTATATAGGAATTCATGTGAATCTTTTTCTTCATCAAATTATTTTCTGAGAAAACATGCACAGCCAGGGTTAAAAGGTGTTTCTTGTAATCAGGAAGTTCGGTGGCCATTGTCTCTCGCAGGAGAGGGAATTCGTACATGTGTGCATGTGTGTTGGATACCAGAAATACTCTCGTGGAGAGCCCAGCTGCCTCCTTCAAAGTATCTTCACAATAACTCCTGATGGTCTCCAGGGTTTGCTCCATGTTGAAATTCCTTTTCCTCCTTTCACCTTCAATACTGATATCGATTTTACTACGCACAAAGTAAAACTTCTTTCTCCTTCTTTGTATTT